ATGAACTGCTTAATTAATGAGTGTGTGTATCATTTTACCATTGAATCATACAATAAAACAATTATCGCTATTTCTTCAGTCAATACGATGGCTTAGGCACCTTCGAGCTCGGTGAATGTTGTACTCCTCAGGTGGCTAAATCATCGTATTGACCTCAAAAACAGTAATAATTGTATAATATTTTGTGCAAGAAACTACCGATAGTAAAACAACCACGCATAGCCCACCCACACACACCCCAACCCTGACCCCCTTCTTACAGGTACAACTTACATACATTGTATATAAAATCTTTGCTGGCGTCACAGGTGCTAAGATTTACTAATTCCTTGATATACATTTCGAAATCTTCTAGAAATTCTGATCATCAACTTTTTTAAGACGCGAAAGAGAACTCACAAACCTTTCAATGAGATAACTATATTCAAACTAATATTTCTTGTTAATATTTTATGTAACATGACTTCATAAAATATACGTTGATATTACTGTATTATTCAAAATAATTGAAAATTTACATTGAAGTAACTCTATTGTTCAAATTAATTAACAATAAAAAAAGAGATCAATTGCTATATTCTATGTGGCAGAAAACAAATCAAATACGTTTTCAATTCTCTGTCTATGAATGATTTAAAACAAATCTTCAGATCTTAAAAAAAAAAGCATCAGCATGAAGGACAATTTGAATGTGCCTATAAGAAGAGATTTTTATTTCAAACAAATCGAAGATTTTCAAAATTTTGTAGAGCGTCAGGTTGCTTTTTCAAAAAATGTATCCCAAGTATGGTGCACTAACGGATCTCAAATCATCGAAGTATTTCCCACCAGTTATATACCAAATCCAGTTTTACCAGTAAGTGACCAACGGAACAACATTAGTACCAGAATCACAAAGGGATCAACAATAGTATCGTCATATTTATCAACCACAGAAGAATCAACAGTATTGCCATATTTATCAACACCAGAAGGATCAACAGTTTTGCCATATTTATCAACCACAGAGGGACCATCAACGGTATTTCCCTATTTATCAACCGGATTAACAGCAGTATTGCCGTATTCATCAACCACAGAAGGATCAACAACAGTATTGCCATATTTATCAACCACAGAAAAATCAACAACAGTGTCCTCATATTCATTGACCATAGAAGTATCAACAACAGTATTGCCATTACTTCCAGCCACAGAGGTATCAACAACAGTGTCACCATATTCATCAACCACACAAGGATCAACAACGGTATTGTCATATTTATCAACCACAGAGGGATCAACACTAGTATCGCCAAGTTTATCAACACCAGAAGGGTCAACAACTGTTCCGCCATATATATCAACCATGGAAGGATCAACAACTGTTTCGCCATATTTATCAACCACGGAAGTATCAACAACAGTTTCGCAATATTTATCAACCATAGAACCAGATCCATCAACAACAAATACTTCAATTAGGCTGGGTACGTGTACTGTTCTTTAAAATTGATTATTATCTTGATATACATGATTTATGGATATTGTTGCAATTAACTATGGACAATCTAACGAATTAAAATTGCTCTAAATGGGATACATTTTACCATGACATACATGTTATCAAATTGTTTATATCAAGAAATTTATTTTGACAAATAATATGTACCTACATTTCCTTCATTTCCATTATTCTATCTAACACTATTTATTCGCAAGAACTTTATTTTTTGCATAATAACTCGAGACTGCTTGTTCACGAAAATCTCTCTCTGGTTTATCATGTTTATAATTATTTTGTTAAAGACTGTGTACACCAAACCGAAATTCGTTAAAAAAAAAAAACAAAATAAGAACCTCGCGAAAATAAGGTCTCACGAAAATTTGGTGATCCAAGTACCTATAAAATGTTAAGCTCCAAATACTGTAGTACTGTCCTGTTTGAAACACATGACCAATTATATGTTTCAAATGCTCATGAGACCTACATTTTACAACTGAAGTAAACCCTTTTGAGCTCTGTATCTTTAAGCGCATAATGATATTATTCAAACAGTGACAAGGTCCTTAGTTTGTATTTAGACTACATACAGAAATTTTCGCTAACGGAGTCAGTCTCAAAAAAGAAAAATCTTTTTTTTAATGACCTCAACCTGCGTCAAATATCAGGATATTACTTTATAGCAGTTATTCCCGACTGTAAGCCTCTAGTAAATCTCTGCATGTAGACGTTTCCATTAATTAAAAGCTTATATACTTGGTCAAGAACAAAAGACAAATAATCGTAAGATAATTCTATAATGACATTAGAAATTATTTATCAGGTTGTCTTTATGATGACTTAAACTATGATCACAGCACCACGGTGATTGTATCTACCAACGCTAGTACAGTGGGATTTGCTTTCGACAATTTCCAAAATTCACTTCCGGTTGGAACAGAAATAAGATTTAGATGTTTAGACAATCACCGTCACAGGGGAGGAGATCTTACCCGATACTGCCGTACCAACGGAACATGGAGCGGAGAAAAGCCAGTCTGTGCAAGTAAGCAAGGAGTCTGTTGTTTCAGATTTCTGATTTTAGTGTCATAAAGTCATAAATATGTTATGTATTGAAATGTATGGAGATATCGAACAGTATTCAAGCTCAAAAGTCCATTAACATTACAAAATAGGAGCAGAGCAAACACGGACCTCCAAAACATCAGAGGTGGAATGAGTTAAGAATCCGCAAAGCATTTGTATATAATCTCAAAATTGGTTCCTTATTGAAGAAATCATTTCAGTTTAGTGATGAAGCGAATATGCATGTTTACTATTAATTTTACTATTCGATTAGGTTGTTACTACTAGTAAGCTACAGAATAATCTGGAGGTATTTGCTCTATCGGTTTGAAAATGGCAAAACAATTTGAAGTGAAAGGGGAATGTTTTTGTTCTTTTTTTTATATACATGTAGACGTAACAACTTTTTAATGACATGAATTAACTTTATATTTTTGTAACCTAAAGATTGTGTTGATATTAAAAATAAGAAATCTGAAAAGGGAAACGTAATTAATTGGGACTAGAAAGAAACACAACATTAACAGTACATTGTAAAATGTGTATGGTAAAAAAAACTGTAAAATATACTAGTAATTATATTTTTACCCATATTTAGGTTGCATGTGTCCTTGTGAACGTATGAAGAAACAGATCATCATAAAAAACGATATGGAGTTAAAAACTAAAATTAACAAGATGAAAAAAGATCTAGCAATTAACAAAACAGAAGTAAACCAACACCTCCGCAAAAGAATATCTGCTTCTGATCCGCGACCTTCTGCGACAGTTATGGGAACGATATTAGGTCCGCTCCTTTTAACACTTTTTATTGGGGCCATCGTAATAAGCGATATCACAACGATGATCCGTCACTTAAAGTATCGTCCTAATGAAGGAATCAAAAGAAAGAGAAAGAAGATAAAGAGAAAGAAGAAAGCAAGGCGACATATTCCCATATCTGGTGACGTCATAGACGAACGATAGTTATCATTAATGCAGGTCTATTAAACACTGTTACAGATATCATAAACCCCCATAATAACTTCTTGAAAAAAGTTGCAAAAGAGATCTCGGTCAATAAAAATTCAAGAAATGAAGTAGTCCGAAGTTTTAAATTGAAACACTTTCATTTTTTTTTCCTTTGCAAATTGCTTGACAGAACTTTTCTTTGATTCTAGATTCTGAGTATCTGAATCTTCTGTCTGACTTTCAAATGATTTCTTTCTTTGCAGAGTCGTTGACATTTGCAATTTATACACTAATATCGAAAGCTGTTTTTATGATTTTAATTCTACCTCGTAATATTTCTTTATAATAAAAAAAAAAGCCTGCTATTTGTCCAATATGGAGATCGATAATTTGCTACATGTATGATATGAAATTTTTCCAATATAATAGTTTAATATGATGTGATTTTTTTTTATTATACGATAATTTGCTATGATATGAAAATTTCACTGTACCTGGTACATGTATAACCAAATGAACCTCCTGCACCCGGGCTAGAGTCCAAAATGCATGGGACATGCATTTCATAACATTTATACGAGGTTTACTGTTTATCATAATCGTATTTTGTATTTTGTACGCTCGACGTCCAAGATAATGGAAGAATATTTTGAATTGTATGATGATTTTTGTGACAAACTTAGCCAACTGAGGCCTAAACTGGTAATTCCTTGGCTATTTCTTGACCAAATTTAAATTTTTATACACCAAACTGTTCGAAATTTTGTTTTCTTTGCATCTAGACACCAGAGATTGAAATACGGAAATGTTTTATTTCTCTTGAGGAATGACAAAAAAGGATACGAGCTCTTCAACCTTACGTTCCTCTCACGTGCGTTGACTAATTTTCCAGCATGATAACCAAATGTTACCAAATTTTGTCAAGTTTTTGCGGCAAACTTATTACATTAACCCACTTGACTGGTGGCTGTACAATCCACAACAGTGCCCAATCTAACATCTGTGGGTCTAACTAGAGAGTTGCGTAGGCATGGTAGGTGTTGCTAATATTGCTCCTGCTACTCTCGACCAACTAAGGACTAGAGCTAGCTTGTTGGAAGAGTGGGATAATATTCCCATGAGTATAAATGCACTGATGAACTCAATGCACAGGAGATTCGGGACTGTAACAGATGCGTGAGGGAGGAAACTGACGATTCAGTTGATTTCACATGGGGGGAGGGGGAGGGCATATATCTACTTCCAGTACTCGTGATATCCATCAAAATCACACAAATTTTGGTAACTTGTTGATAAAATAAAAAAAAAATATTTAACAACATTGGAAAAAACATTCGAATAATACCTCAAATGTTTGCGTTTCTTTTTCCTTCCAGTATATTACACATAATTCATATATATTAGTGTTCAGCTGATAAAAACACAAATTCAATTTATTAGATGTTCAGAATTTTTATTCATTTCTGTATCAACAAAACAAGATAGAAAAAAGAAACAGTAGTTGTTTTCATCAGTTAATATATTTTTATTGTACTTTATTTTATACATTTCATACTTCAAAATGTGATAAAAAATATAATTTTTCAATCTTTACTATCCTAAGCTTTTCACATACATAATGTATTATAGCCCATATTTTTTTTCTAGCCTCCGTCCCTCTTTTATTCATTTTCTTCAGCATGTCTTGTTAAGTTAAACTCTGTTGTGAAATCCTGGCCCATCAATATCATTTATTTACTGAATTCTTAGTTTCATGACTGACTGACACGCTCTAAACACTTGCAGGCATCTTTCAATTTACCAACTAAGTCCTGAAAGCAGAGTTTAATTTTTATGTATAGACAGGAAAATTATGTATTTTTCATATCATTTTGGATGTTGTACATAGATTCTATTATTATCTTATTGAAAAGGTAAATCAAATTGCTTTAAGTGGGAAAAAACTTGTTTATACGTGTATAACTATATGTATGATGTATGCATATGGTGTACTTCAGAAACATCCATAAATGTAAAATAAAATTCATTAAATTATCAGTCTAAAAATGGTATGGCACTCAAATTTTTTTAAAAAAAATAAGCAAAATATATGTTCATGTAAATAAGGGTCATGGGACATAAGCTACAGATAAGGACCTATATTTAACATCTAAATTAAAGAAATCCAGTTTTTAATAAAGATAGACATTATTTAAATTAGCTGCCTTAATTTCCCATATATTAAAAAAAATGTAATATTGTATTTTTTAAATATTCTTAATATTATCCATGAGCCTTAATTAAATTCTGGAATGTACAGTGTATGTACCTTGAATTGAAATTTGATATGTTCATACATTCAGGTAAATACAAACTTTTGTAGCAATTAGTCATACCTGGAGCTGCTCCTGGGAACAGGAAAACTGGACTTCCTGGAGCTCTGTCTTACCTGGAACCTTACAATTGAAAAAAAAAAGAAGTAAAAATGCAAATAATGGGTAAAGAGATCTGTCTCAGTCGAGATATAGTGCATTATACTGATCAAAACCAGTTATACTCAAATTAACTTACAGCTCTACTCTGAGATACAATAACAAAAATATACAAATCTACTGTAGATCACCAAATTTTTACGACACCTTATTTCTGCAAGATAGATGTTTGGTATTTATTTTCGCAAGTTCTGGTTACCGTTTTCATATTCTTCACCCATATAAATATACAAGAGAATGAAATTTTCACGAGCACACTGTCATACATATGTAAGCATAAATAAAATTCTCACAAATAAAAAGTGATTTACAGTATATAAAAGGAATTTATGCTCTTATAGTTTTTAAATATCCAAATGCTGCTTTTCAAACATTTCCTTGTAATGTACATGTACAATATAAAGGGGTTTAAATTTGTGGGTGCATAATATTGCTCCATTTTCCCTTCAGCATCTATTATACATAGGTGGTTTTGAATTTTTGTAAATACATGTATATATGTACTTTAGAAATTATGTCTACAATAAAAAAAATTATTCATCAATTCTGGACTTTGTAGCTTATCATTTGTGTTTGGAAAATATGAATGTAAAGCCCCCAATCCCCCCAAGATATTTTGTCTTAGCCTTACATGTACAAGTTGCTTTATATATTCTTTAGTCATAAGTTAGTGTCAGATGAAAAACAAACCATTTAATAAATAAGACAAAATAAATTCTTTCATGCACAATATTGTTTTAATAGTATACTCCTACATTTCAGTGATTGTTTTAAAATCTCTAAGGCCATTCCAAGTTTTTTCTATGTTTAGCGTCCGTGTGAGCCTTGGTTTTTGACACCCATATCACAAAAAACAAACAAAGTCATGAGTCCTCAAATTGAATATTTTGGTCAAAATCACTGAATTCTGTCAATTTCTCAAAATATTTGTCTACAGTATGTCATATTAGGAATATTGTACGCATTGAATACCTTGATTTTGCTGAAGAATACTAGTAAGTTTTTTCTACGAGTAAAATAGAATAATGAAATCAAATCCTTTGAGTGACATCATTTTTATGACTATAAAGTTTGTGTTTTATTTTTTGGTTTGTGTGTTTTTTGCGAATAGGTAGGTAGGTTTTTGAAAGATGGGTGGACGCTAAACAGAGAAAAAACTTGGAATGGCCTAATATATTGGTGAAACCCTTAAATATATATAACTTAACTCATATGACAACATACAAAGAAGATTTCAATCTCAATTTCAATGAAATAGATATGTGAATTTCTGAGATATAGATTGCTTACCTCTGTTTTCAGGTTTATTAAATACACTGCCTCATTCACTCTCTCAAGATGGTTATTCTACAAAGAAATCAACAAAAAATGTTCAACATTTTTTCCTCATTAAATTTAGTTACTTTCATCTCTGGATACTGTACATAATGAAAATTTTGCCCCCATTTTATTTTTGCCCCTTTTGCCCTCAGCAGTATGCAAACTGAAATTCAAAATAGGGCAAATTCCAACAGAGGCAGAGTTATCTTTATTTTAAAGCAACTAGATCAAATGGGGAAAAATTATTTGCTAGTGTAAAAGAAAGAAAATAACTGTACAAAAATAACCGTTTACCATTTATCTTCCAGTCCCTTACCTTGACGTAGTAATCCAGTCTCCAGTCTACATCTACAATATGAGCAGGTGTCGTACCCACACTGTAATATGATAAACAATATGTATAAGCAAACAGAAGAAATTGTGAAACAGTACCAGTATAGATCCCATACAATTACAGCAATCTGAACAGTTGATGGGTTGTGTTCTGTTGAAAACATTGTTTATTATTCTTTATTCTTGTAACACTTGCAACTTATTTAAAAAATGTTTTCTAAATGTAACATAATCATAATTGGACTTTGACCGTGGAAAACTTAACAAACCTGGTACATTTTATGTGTAATTTTTTACCATATTTGATATACATGGTATTATATATAATTTTTTTTTTATTTGGGGGGGGGGGGGGGGATTGTGAAAACTTACATCTTGCTGTACATGGACTAACTCTGTTTCAGTTATTAAGTACATTTAGATTCTTAAAACAGTCCACATAGAATTCAAAGTTACTCAGTGAATATATTCTTCATATTCGTTGTAGATGAGGCATGAATGATTTGCGCTATGATTTTTAACTGTATTAATACTAAAATGATCCTAAAACTTTACCTGCCAAGAAGGATTTGAAGAGCTGCCTTGTTTTTCTACAAATAATTTGTTGATCAATAATTCATTAAAACAAAACAATGGAAGTAACTCCCAGATAATTTCACTGATATTTTTACATTCTCTGATTTATACAAGTCCTAGAATTCATAGCTTACATATTTGTATCTGATTTGCTATAATATTAAAATATATAGATATTAACATGTTGATCAAGTTACCTGATAAACATCCAACACTTGCTTGATTCTTTCTGGAGGGAATTTACAGTCTTCCAGAAGAGAGCTGAAGAAAGCAAAGCCAAAATAGTCTAAATTTATTTTATTTCAGTTACCTAACAAACTTTAAAAAAAAAATCAATGTAAATCGAAGTGTAAGAAAATGCATCAGACCAGGGTTCTAACTAGAGTTTTTAATTATTCTCCATATTGCAACCTTGAGATCAGAATCCTAATAAATCAAAACTGTGTCCCTTCCCCTACAGAGCTTAAGGAGGAGGAATGTAGTAGTCAGACACATTTGATCACCTGTGTCCCTTCCCCTAAAGAGCTATCAATCCACTTAAGGAGGGAGGAATGTGGCAGTCAGGCACATTTGATCACCTGTGTCCCTTCCTCTAAAGAGCTATCAATCCATTTAAGGAGGGAGGAATGTGGCAGTCAGACACATTTGATCACCTGTGTCCCTCCCCCTAAAGAGCTATCAATCCATTTAAGGAGGGAGGAATGTGGCAGTCAGGCACATTTGATCACCTGTGTCCCTTCCCCTAAAGAGCTATCAATCCATTTAAGGAGGGAGGAATGTGGCAGTCAGACACATTTGATCACCTGTGTCCCTCCCCTTAAAGAGCTATCAATCCATTTAAGGAGGGAGGAATGTGGCAGTCAGACACATTTGATCACCTGTGTCCCTCCCCCTAAAGAGCTATCAATCCATTTAAGGAGGGAGGAACGTGGCAGTCAGACACATTTGATCACCTGTGTCTTTTCCCCTAAAGAGCTATCAATCCATTTAAGGAGGGAGGAATGTGGCAGTCAGACACATTTGATCACCTGTGTCCCTTCCCCTAAAGAGCTATCAATCCATTTAAGGAGGGAGGAATGTGGCAGTCAGACACATTTGATCACCTGTGTCCCTTCCCCTAAAGAGCTATCAATCCATTTAAGGAGGGAAGAATGTGGCAGTCAGACACATTTGATTGCCAGTGGTCAGATAGCTCAGTTGGTAGAGCACCTTACTACAGTTAGGGGCTTCCATTCAAATCCTAGTCTAGTCTGTTACAGTACTAACATACTGTTGAGCTTTGATTTCAATATTTTTACCTCAGGGATTCCGTGTCTTTGTCCTGTTTGGCGGCTTCTATCACCATGGAAACAAGACCAGAATAGGCTTCTTTAACTGTTGTGTGATCTTTCTTGGAAAGTCCTTTCACACCTATAAAGATAAAAAGTGAATACTTCCTTGTGTAACAGGAATGGAAAAATTGCAAAGGTCCAGACCAGGATTTGAAACCATGCCCACTACATCATGGCAACTGGATGCCACATATAAGTTTACACACAATTAATGCAGTCAGCTAGCAGGTATTATAATAATTATAACTAGATGAGATCTCGTTGCGAGCAACGAGTGGGTCTTCCGTCCGATTTTTGAAAAGATGAGATAAGAGTTTGACTGAGATTTTCGTTTAAATATAATGATATAAATAAATTTTTAAGACGAACAATTTTGCTTTAATAATGTTTAGCAAAATATTGGTCATTAAAGGGTTATAGATTAAAGATTTTCGGCCCTTCTTGGCCCCTAATGTGAGAGGACAGCCCCTTTTTCTTGATATCATCTTAAATCTCTCATGATTTTAAACACTTTTTGTTCAACAACTATTCAGAAACTCTTTTTCGTTTCCGAGATACATGCAAAAGAAATATTTAGGGGCCGGCCCTTCAACTTCTTAATGGAGACGTTTAGCAGAAATTGAAAGGTTACATATTGTTCAGAACATTATTGTGAACATCTTTTATTCAATATTGCTTAGCAAAATATTTCCCACTTTCGAGATATAAAGCGTCAAAGATTTAGTATTTCGGCCCCTCATGACCCCTAATTATGTAACATGTGATTTGAATAACATGATATATAGTTGTAGTTTGCTCAGATAAACATTTTTGCTGCAGTAATATTTTACAAAATATTGATCGTTAAAGAGTTACTGATGAAAGACTTTCGGCCCCTCTCGGCCCCGATTTTAAGGGGCCAGTACCTTTTTCTTGATTTCACCTTAAAGCTCTTATGATTTTGAACACATTTTGTTCAACAACTATTCAGAAATTCTTTTTCGTTTCCGAGATATATGCAAAAGAAATATTTAGGGGCCGGCCCTTCAACTCCTTAATGGGGACGTTTAGCAAATATTGAAAGGTTGCATATTGTTTAGAACATTATTTTGAACATCTTTTGTTCAATATTGCTTATCAAAATATTTCCCATTTTCAAGATATAAAGCGTCAAAGATTTAGCATTCTGGCCCCTTATGGCCCCTAATTATGTAACATATGAGATTTTTATTATAATATATAGTTGTAGATTGTTCGGATAAACATTTTTGCTTCAGTAATGTATAACAAAATATTGATCGTTAAAGAGTTATGGATTTAATACTTCTTGCCCTTTTTGGCCCCTAATGTGATGAGTCAGCCCTTCTTTCTTGATATCATATAAAAGATCTAGTAATTCTGCACAATTTCTGTTCAATGTGTTTTAAGAAAATATTCATAGTTTTGAAGATATGATAAAAAATGTCTCGAAAATTCACTTCTGATTCATGTCCTAAATTTTGACCCCTACCGAGCTTCCATTCTAGGCACTTCCAGAAAATTTGAAAACTGAGGTGCACAACTAGAACATGTCCTCTATTGTCACTGAAAATTTCAGCACTCTATCTTTTGTCGTTTTTGAGTTTTTGTGTAGACAAAATGGTCACCAAAAATTTGATTGAAGGGCGATAACCGGAAGTGAATTTCCAAAAATTAAGAAAAATGAATAAGGTTTAGATCATGATACATCATCTCTGAAAATTTCAAGTGAATCCATCCAACCATCTCCGAGAAATCGTCTGCACAAAATTTGGACAGAAAAAAAAATAATAATAATAATAAAAGTGAAAAAGAAACAATAGAATAATAGAAGGGTCTTCCGTTGGAGACGGAAGACCCTAATAATAATAAAAGTGAAAAAGAAACAATACAATAATAGAAGGGTCTTCCGTTGGAGACGGAAGACCCTAATAATAAAGGTAAAAAAGAAACCGAAGAATAATAGAAGGGTCTTCCGCTGAAGACGGAAGACCTTAATAATAATAAGAAACTAGATGCGATCTCGTTGCGAGCAACGAGTGGGTCTTCCGTCCGAATTTTGATAAGATGAGATAAGAATTTGATTGAGATTTTCGTTCAAATATAATGATATAAATAAATTGCTAGGACAAACAACTTCGCCTCAGTAACGTGTAACAATAAATTGATCATTACAGAGTTATAGATTAAAGATTCTCAGCCCCTCTAGCGTATTTTGAGGGACCAGCACCTTTTTCTTGACATCACCTCAAAGCTCTCATGATTTTGAACAATTTTTGTTCAACAACTGTTCAAAAATTCTTTTTTCTTTCCGAGATATTTGCAAAAGAAATATTTAGGGGCCGGTCCTCCAACTCCTTAATGGGGATGTTCAGTAAAAATTAAAAGATAACATTATTTTGAACATCTTTTGTTCAGTATTGCTTATCAAAATATTTCCCACTTTCGAGATATAAAGCATCAAAGATTTAGCATTCTGGCCCCTTATGACCTCTATGACGTAATATCATAATATATAGTTGTGGATTGTTAAGATAAACATATTTTCTTCAGTAATGTATTACACAATATTGATCTTTAAAGAGTTATAGATTAAAGGCTATTCGCCCCTTTCGGTCCATAGTTTGAGGTACCAGACCCTTTTTCTTGATATCACCTTAAAGCTCTCATGATTTTAAACATTTTTTGTTCAACAAATATTCAGAAATTCTTTTTTGTTTCCGAGATATTTGCGAAAGAAATAATTAGGGGCCGGCCCTTCAACTCCTTTAGGGGGACGTTTAGCAAAAATTGAAAGGTTGCGTAGTGTAAAGAACATTATTTTAAACATCTTTCATTCAATACTGCTTATCAAAATATTTCCCACTTTCGAGATATAAAGCATCAAAGATTTAGCATTCTGGCACCTTATGGTCCCTAATTGCTAAACATATGACGTAAATATCATAATATATAGTTGTGGTATATTAAGATAAACATTTTTGCTTCAGTAATGTATAACAGAATATTGATCGTTAAAGAGTTATAGTTTAAAGAATTTTGGCCCCTTTCGGTCCATAGTTTAAGGGGCCAGCCCCTTTTCCTTGATATCACCTTCAAGCTCTCATGATTTTGAACACTTTTTGTTCAACAACTTTTCAGAAATTCTCTTTCATTTCTGAGATATTTGCAAAAGAAATAATTAGGGGCCGGCCCTTCAACTCCTTTAGGGGGACGTTTAGCAAAAATTGAAAGGTTGCATATTGTTTAGAACATTATTTTAAACATCTTTTATTCAATATTGCTTATCAAAATATTTCCCGCTTTCGAGATATAAAGCGTCAGAGATTCAGCATTCTGACCCCTTATGGCCACTAATTATGAAACATATGACGTAAATATCATAATATTTAGTCGTGGATTGTTAAAATAAACATTTTTGCTTCAGTAATGTATAACAAAATATTGATCGTTAAAGAGTTAAGGATTTAAGACTTTTGGCCCCTCTTGACCCTTAATGTAATAAGACAGCCCTTTTTTCTTGATATCATATAAAAGTTCTTATAATTCTGCACAATTTTTGTTATATGTGTTTTTAGAAAATATTCATGGTTTTGAAGATACGATAAAAAATGTCTTGAAAATTCCCTCTTGATTCATGTCCTAGATTTTGACCCCTACCGAGCTTCCATACTAGGCACTTTCGGAAGATTTGAAAGTATAGGTGCACAACTACAACATGTCCTCTATTATCACTGCAAATTAAAGCACTCTAGCTTTTGTCGTTTTTGAGTTTTTGTGTAGACAAAATGGTCACTAAAAATTCGATAAAAGGGCGATAACTTTCGACCGGAAGTGAATTTTCAAAAATTGAAAAAAATGAATAAGGTTTAGATCATGATACATCATCCCTGAAAATTTCAAATGAATCCATCCAAGCATCTCTGAGAAATCGTCTGCACAAAATATGTAAAGAAAATAATAATAATAATAACTAGATGCGATCTCGTTGCGAGCAACGAGTGGGTCTTCCGTCCGATTTTTGATAAGATGAGATAAGAATTTGACTGAGACGTTTGTTCAAATATAATGATATAAATAAATTGTTAAGACAAACAATTTTGCTTCAGTAATCTATAACAAAATGTTTATCATTAAAGATTATAGATTAAAGACTTTCGGCCCGTCTTGGTCCCTATTTTGAGGGGCCAGCCCTATTTTCTTGCTATCTTCTTACAGCTCTCATGATTTTGAACACTTTTTGTTCAACAACTATTCTACATTTTTTTTTCGTTTCTGAAATATCTGCAAAAGAAATAATAGGGGCCGGCCCTTCAACTCCTTAATGGGAACGTTCAGCAAAAATTGAAAGGTAACATATTGTTCAGAACGTTATTGTGAACATCTTTTATTCAATATTGCTTATCAAGATATTTCCCACTTTCGAGATATAAAGCATCAAAGATTTAGCATTCTGGCCCCTAATGTCCCTTTTTAACATCAAAGATTTAGCATTCTGGCCCCTATTGTCCCCTTATAACGAAACATATGATGCCAACAACGTGATATAGTTAAGGAGTGTGAAGATGATCTATTCTGCCTTAGTAATGTATTACAAAATATTGATCGTTTAAGAGTTATTGATGAAAGACTTTTGGCCCCTATCAGCCCTTATTTTGAGGGGCAAGTCCCTTTTTCTTGATATCACCTTAAAGCTCTTATGATTTTGAACACTTTTTGTTCAACAACTATTCAGAAATTCTTTTTCGTTTCCAATATATGTGCAAAAGAAATATTTAGGGGCTGGCCCTTCAACTCCTTAATGGAGACGTTTAGCAAAAATTCAAAGGTTACATATTGTTCAGAACATTATTGTGAACATCTTTTATTCAATATTGCTTAGCAAAATATTTCCCACTTTCGAGATATAAAACGTCAAAGATTTAGTATTTCTGCCCCTCATGACCCCTAATTATGTAACATGTGATTTGAATAACATAATATATAGTTGTAGTTTGCTCAGATAAACATTTTTGCTGCAGTAATATTTTACAAAATATTGATCGTTAAAGAGTTATTGATGAAAGACTTTCGGCCCCTCTT